TTCGGAGTTCTTTCAACAGACCGGATGGCCATCTGTCAGGAGTGCTTTGATTGTGTTTTCCTGTATAACAGGTGGAGTTGGACTGAATGGTCTTTGGGGATCCCTTCCAACTTGCTTGGGAGTCTAGTGGACTTTCCTTCTTTGGAAGTCTTCCAACAGACTGGACAGCCATCTGTCGGGAGGGATCGAATTGTGTCCTCCTGTATAACAGAATGGGGTTGGACTGGATAGTCTTTGTATATCTTTTCTAACTATAATGGGATATAGACTGGTCTGCAAAAAAGGCATCTCAGTGGTTTGCAAAAAAGGCATCTCGGTGGTTTGCAAAAAAGGCATCTCAGTGGTCTGCAAAAAACGAATCTCGGTGGTTTGCAAAAAATGCGTCCCGGTGGTTTGCAAAAAATGCATCCCGGTGGCTTGCAAAAAAATGCATCTTGGTGGTTTGCAAAAAAAGCATCCCGGAGGTTTGCAAAAAATGCATCCCGGTGGTTTGCAAAAAATGCGTCCCGGTGGTTTGCAAAAAATGCATCCCGGTGGTTTGCAAAAAATGCGTCTCGGTGGTTTGCAAAAAAAGCGTCCCGGTGGTTTGCAAAAAATGCATCCCAGTGGTTTGCAAAAAATGCATCTCGGTGGTTTGCAAAAAATGCATCTCGGTGGTTTGCAAAAAATGCATCCCTGTGGTTTACAAAAAATGCATCTTGATGGTTTGCAAAAAATGCATCCGGTGATTTACAAAAAATGCATCCCGGTGGTTTGCAAAAAATGCATCCCGGTGGTTTGCAAAAAATGCATCCGGTGATTTACAAAAAATGCATCCCGGTGGTTTGCAAAAAATGCATCTCGGAGGTTTGCAAAAAAGGTGAACAAACCAATGGGTCCCTGCCATAAAAATGCAAAGCCCAGCCCTGTTTTGTGCAAAGCAGAGTCCTAATTTAGGAAAAGAAACCTGGCTTTCGGTCCGGGAACAAGGCTTTTCTTCCCCATCCTTGGGGTATTGCTGCTTCCTCTCCAATGTTTTCTCCTCGGAGCCACCTGGACTCGGCCTGATACAAACCAGATCCCTGGAAAATGCTGTTTAGAAAAAAGAATGCCTTGGCAAACCCAAAAGGTCGTCTTGCCCTTTGGGACTTCTTTGGAGGCTTTTACACAGAGGCTGGATGGCCATCTGTCGGGGGTGCTTCGAATGCAATTTTCCTGCTTCTTGGTAGAAAGGGGTTGGACTGGATGGCCCATGAGGTCTTTTCCAACTCTAGGATTCTATAATTCTTCCTCCTCTCTGGGTTTCTATCCCTTTTTGCTGGGCAACGCTGCCTCTGGGCATGCGCAGAGTGCAACTAGGGTTGAGGCTTCGGAGTCAAAACAAACTGGACACCTTCACAAAACTTGCTTTGGTTTCATCGGGGAGAAAAATCCGCGCATCTCCACTACTGTCGAAGGAATGCAATTCGACACCACATCAACCGCTGTGGGAGTTGTAGTTTCACGAAGGGTGCCTCTACATTATAGAATGGATGGGGCTTGATGCCAATTGAAGTGCTATGGAATCCTGGGAGTTGTAGTTTGGCAGAGGGTGCTCTGACACTATGGAATGAATGAATGCAGTCAGACACTGGCTCAATGATATAGAATCCTGGGAGTTGTAGTTTCACTAAGAGCACCTCTACATTGTAGGATGGATGGGGCTTGATGCCAACTAAAGTGCTACGGAATCCTGGGAGTTGTAGTCTTACAGAGGGTGCTCTGACACTACGGAATGAATGAATGCAGTCAGACACTGGCTCAATGATATAGATCTTGGGAGTTGTAGTTTTACAGAGGGTGCTCAGACACTACGGAATGAACGAATGCAGTCAGACACTGGCTCAATGATATAGAATCCTGGGAGTTGTAGTTTCACTAAGGGTGCCTCTACATTGTAGGATGGATGGGGCTTGTTGCCAATTAAAGTGCTATGGAATCCTGGGAGTTGTAGTTTTACAGAGGATGCTCTGATGCTACAGAATGAATGAATGCAGTCTGACATTGGCTCAATGATATAGAATCCTGAGAGTTGTAGTTTCACTAAGAGTACCTCTCCATTGTAGGATGGATGGGGCTTGTTGCCAATTAAAGTGCTACGGAATCCTGGGAGTTGTAGTTTTACAGAGGGTGCTCCGACACTGCAGAATGAATGAATGCAGTCTGACACTGGCTCAATGATATAAAATCCTGGGAGTTGTAGTTTCACTAAGAGCACCTCTACATTGTAGGCTGGATGCGACTTGATGCCAATCAAAGTGCTACGGAATCCTAGGAGTTGTAGTTTGACAGAGGATGCTCTGACACTACGGAATGAATGAATGCAGTCAGACACTGGCTCAATGAAATAGAATCCTAGGAGTTGTAGTTTCAGTAAGGGTGCCTCTACGTTGTAAGATGGATACTTGTGCCCCACCAAACTACAACTCCCAGTACTCCATAGTCCAACACTGTATTAATAATAACAATGTATTAATAAGATATTATTAATTTATTATTAGCATTAATAATCATACTACTACACCAAAAAGCTTGTGCCTCACCAAACTATAACTCCCAGGACCCCATAGTATAGCACTGTATTTTTATTATTAGCAATAATGTATAAATATTATTAATTTATTATGAGCATTAACAATAATAATTTTCCACCAAAAAGCTTGTGCCCCACCAAACTATAACTCCCAGGACTTCATAGCACAGCACTGTATTAATAATAACAATGTATTAATAATATATTATTAATTTATTAGTAGCATTCATAATAATACCACTGCACCAAAAAGCTTGTGCCTCACCAAACTACAACTCCCAGGATTCCATAGCACAGCACTGTATTGATAATAATAATAATGTATTAATAACATATTATTGATTTATTATTAGCATTAATAATACTACTGCACCAAAAAGTTTGTGCCTCACCAAACTGCAACTCCCAGCACTTCATAGAACAGCACTATATTGATAATAATAACAACAATGTATCAATAACATATTATTAATTTATTATTAGCAGTAATACTCATACTACTACACCAAAAAGCTTGTGCCTCACCAAACTACAACTCCCAGGACTTCACAGCACAGCACTGTATTAATAACATCAACAAAGTATTAACAACAATTAATATAACAATGTATTAATAACATATTAATTTATTACTAGCATTAATATTAATACTACTGTACCAAAAAGCTTGTGCCCCACCAAACTACAACTCCCAGGACTCCATAGCACAGCACTATATTAATAATAACAATGTATTAATAACATATTATTAATTTATTATTAGCATTAATAATCATACTACTGCACCAAAAAGCTTGTGCCCCACCAAACTACAACTCCCAGGACTCCATAGCACAGCACTATATTAACAATAACAATGTATTATTAAGATATTAATTTACTATTAGCATTAATAATCATACTACTGCACCAAAAAGCTTGTGCCTCACCAAACTACAACTCCCAGGACTCCATAGCACAGCACTATATTAACAATAACAATGTATTATTAAGATATTAATTTACTATTAGCATTAATAATCATACTACTGCACCAAAAAGCTTGTGCCCCACCAAACTACAACTCCCAGGACTCCATAGCACAGCACTATATTAACAATAACAATGTATTATTAAGATATTAATTTACTATTAGCATTAATAATCATACTACTGCACCAAAAAGCTTGTGCCCCACCAAACTACAACTCCCAGGACTCCATAGCACAGCACAGTATTGATAATAATAATAATATTAATAATAATGTATTAATAACATATTATTAATTTATTATTAGCATTAATAATATTACACCAAAAAGCTTGTGCCTCACCAAACTACAACTCCCAGGACTTCACAGCACAGCACTGTATTAATAACATCAACAAAGTATTAACAACAATTAATATAACAATGTATTAATAACATATTAATTTATTACTAGCATTAATATTAATACTACTGTACCAAAAAGCTTGTGCCCCACCAAACTACAACTCCCAGGACTCCATAGCACAGCACTATATTAACAATAACAATGTATTATTAAGATATTAATTTACTATTAGCATTAATAATCATACTACTGCACCAAAAAGCTTGTGCCCCACCAAACTACAACTCCCAGGACTCCATAGCACAGCACTATATTAACAATAACAATGTATTATTAAGATATTAATTTACTATTAGCATTAATAATCATACTACTGCACCAAAAAGCTTGTGCCCCACCAAACTACAACTCCCAGGACTCCATAGCACAGCACTATATTAACAATAACAATGTATTATTAAGATATTAATTTACTATTAGCATTAATAATCATACTACTGCACCAAAAAGCTTGTGCCCCACCAAACTACAACTCCCAGGACTCCATAGCACAGCACAGTATTGATAATAATAATAATATTAATAATAATGTATTAATAACATATTATTAATTTATTATTAGCATTAATAATATTACACCAAAAAGCTTGTGCCTCACCAAACTACAACTCCCAGCACTTCATAGCACAGCACAGTATTGATAATAATAATAATAGTAATGTATTAATAACATATTATTGATTTATTATTAGCATTAATAATAATACTTCTCCACCAAACTACAACTCCCAGGACTCCATAGCATAGCACTGCATTAATAATAAAACAACAATGTATTAATAACAAATTATTAATAATTTATTATTAGCATTAATAATACTACTACACCAAAAAGCTTGTGCCCACCAAACTACAACTCCCAGCACTTCATAGCACAGCACAGTATTGATAATAATAGTAATGTATTAATACCATATTATTGATTTATTATTAGCATTAATAATAATTCTTATCCACCAAAAAGCTTATGCCTCACCAAACTACAACTCCCAGGCTTCCATAGCATTGAGCCACGGCAGCTAAAGTGGTATCAAACCACATTCATTCTGAAGTGTAGACGCCACAGTCCTTACCTGATAAAGACTATGATCCCCACTCGTGTGATGTCCTTGTGCAGGATTTCCCAGGACTCTCGGATCAGGTCCTTCTGGGTCTCTGAAAGCGCGAAGGGCTCTGTAGTTTCCTGATTCAGATCTAACCTATCATCCAGGGGGGAGCACTCTTCCGCAATGGGAGGATCCTGTGCGCCAGACAAAGCGCAACCCATCGCTCTCCACAAACTTTGGAGCAATGGAGTTGTAGTTTTACAAGGTCTTCTGTGCCTTTGGGAGACATAAAGCAGGGTATGATATAATAATATAATAACATAACAACATAATAATATAATAACATAATAATAATAATAACAACTACATCTCCCAGGATCCCATAATAGCACTGAGTCGTGGTAGCCAAAGTGGTGCCAAACTGTATTCATTCCTTAGAGCCCTTAGTAAAACTACAACTCCCACAATTCCATAGCATTGAACCCTGGCAGCCTAAGTGGTGCCAAACATCATTCATTCTGCAGTGTTTACACGTACCCTTAGTAAAACTACGACTCCCAGGATCTCATAGCACTGAGCCTTGGCAGCCAAAGTGATGCCAAACTAGCATAGGTGAACCCTTCGTAAAACTACAACTCACACAACTACATAGCATTGAAGCATGGCGGCCAAAGTGGTGCCGAACATCATTCATTCTGCAGTGTTTGCATGCACCCTTAGTAAAACTACGACACCCAGGATCTCATAGCACTGAGCCATGGCAGCCAAAGTGGTGCCAAACTAGCGTAGGTGAACCCTTAGTAAAACTACAACTCACACAACTCCATAGCATTGAAGCATGGAAGCCAAAGTGGTGCCGAACGTCATTCATTTTGCAGTGTTTACGTGCACCCTTAGTAAAACTACAACTCCTAGGATCCCATGGCACCCAAAGTGATGCTGAATGGCATTCATTCTGCAGTGTATACATGCACCCTTAGTGAAACTGCAACTCCCAGGATCCCATACCACTGAGCCATGGCAGCCAAAGTGTTGTCAAACTGCATTCATTCCATATCATAGGTGCGCCCTTAGCAAAACAACAACTCCCATGACACCATAGCATTGAACCATGGCAGCCAAAGTGGTGCTGAACATCATTCTGCAGTGTTTACATGAACCCATCATGAAACTACAACTCCCAGAACATCATAGCATTGAACCATGGCAGCCAAAGTGGTGCTGAACATCATTCTGCAGTGTTTACATGCACCCTTAGTAAAACTACAACTCCAAAAACATCATATCATTGAACCATGGTAGCCAAAGTGGTGCTGAACATCATTCTGCAGTTTTTACATGCACCCTTAGTGAAACTACAACTCCCAGAACATCATAGCATTGAACCATGGCAGCCAAAGTGGTATTGAACATTATTCTGCAGTGTTTACATTCACTCTTAGCGAAACTACAACTCCCAGGATCCCATAGCACTGAGCTATGGCAGCCAAAGTGGTGCCGATAGAAGAGAAATTTAATTCGCAAGTTATCATCATTATTATTATTTGTAGTGTTTATATAAACTTAAAAATCATACATTGCAAAGATAAATAACTTGAGATCAAATTGCATTAATACTTTTGCCGTGCTTTTAGTTGATTTTGTAGATTTGGTTGTTTTATTGATTTTATTTGGTTGTTTTATTGATTCTATTGATTAAGGAGAGGCGGGTAAGAAATAAAATTATTATTATTATTAGATGCTCATTGATTATTATTATTTAAATAGCATTTTGTAAGCTTTCGGGGGCAGAGACTTTAATATTTCCATCCCTATGGAGCGTACTATGTGCAAGCGACCTTGCAAAACTACAAATCCCAGGCTGTACATATACTTGGTGGGATAACGATAAAAAACAAAAGAATTGCAAAAGTTCTATCACTTACCAATGCAACTTTTAAGCACTCAGGGGCAGAGACTTGAATATTTCCATCCCTATGGAGTGCACTATGTGCAAGCAACCTTGCAAAACTACAAATCCCAGGCTGTACATATACTTGGTGGGATATGGATAAAAAATCACAAGAATTGCAAAAGTTCTATCACTTACCAATGCAACTTTTACGCACTCAGGGGCAGAGACTTTAATATTTCCATCCCTACGGAGCGCACTATGTGCAAATGACCTTGCAAAACTACAAATCCCAGGCTGTACATATACTTGGTGGGATCAGGATAAAAAACCAAAAGAATTGCAAAAGTTCTATCCCTTACCAATGCAACTTTTAAGCACTCAGGGGCAGAGACTTTAATATTTCCATCCCTATGGAGCGCACTATGTGCAAGTGACCTTGCAAAACTACAAATCCCAGGCTGTACATATACTTGGTGGGATAAGAATAAAAAACAAAAGAATGGCAAAAGTTCTACCACTTACCAATGCAACTTCTTGTTGCGGTTTAAGGAAAATCGTTGATCTGATGCTCAGTCGGAGTGCACTATGTGCACCTTGCAAAACTACAAATCCCAGGCTGTACATATACTTGGTGGGATAAGGATAAAAAATCAAAAGAATTGCAAAAGTTCTGTCACTTACCAATGCAACTTCTTGTTGTGGCTTAAGGAAAATAGTTGATCTGATGCTCAGTCGGAGTGCACTATGTGCACCTTGCAAAACTACAAATCCCAGGCTGTACATATACTTGGTGGGATAAGGATAAAAAATCAAAAGAATTGCAAAAGTTCTGTCACTTACCAATGCAACTTCTTGTTGTGGCTTAAGGAAAATAGTTGATCTGATGCTCAGTCGGAGTGCACTATGTGCACCTTGCAAAACTACAAATCCCAGGCTGTACATATACTTGGTGGGATCAGGATAAAAATCAAAAGAATTGTAAAAGTTCTACCACTTACCAATGCAACTTTTTCTTGGGGTTTAAGGTAAATTTTTGATCTGATGCTCAGTCCAGATGTGGGATCCAACTGCAAGGAGTTCCTTTTGCAAAGCCCATCTCCTTGCATTTGGCTTCAATCTCCCTTCCACTCTCTGCAGCAGGTGCATCCCATAGGAATTCATTACCAGCATAGGTGTCCCCAGGGTCCTAGAGCCTGCCTTTTAGAAGGCCTGCTGTGCAAACATCTGTAACAAACATCCACTTAGCTCTCTCTCTCTCTTCTTTCTTCTTCCTGTTGCTGCTCCATTTAAAATTACAGATTGATCGTCCTTTCTCATCCCTCTCCAGCGCATGGAAAGCATGTGTGGCTAATGCATGTGAGGCTAATGGACGAGAGATGGGATGCGAAGGGCCCATCTGCGCATAACAACAAATGCCTTGTCTGCATTTCTCCCTCGCCAGGAGATAATGGGCCAGATGGCACTCCAAGGCCAGGGACAAACTAGTACAGGCATTGAACATATATATATATTATTTATCATGTCAGGAAGTTGTGTTACATTTTTGACATAACAAACAAACAAATAGACAAAAGCCACAGAGTTTGCAAACTTGGCATTCTATTAAATGTCCTTTGAGCAGTATCTGGCCACTTGGAGTGCCTCTGGTATTGATGTCGAGCACTCCCCCCCCCCCCAAATAAGGGATAGTGACTTATAGTTCTGCAAAGGGCAAGGGCACCAGACTACACAACAAGGGTTAAGTCTTGGTCACATTGCCAAGACACTGACAACAACAAGGACCCCACGAGGCTTTTGGGAAATGGCTGGATCTTGGGACTTCTGCCCTTTGTGAGAGTTGTAGTTTCCCAAGGACCAAAGCGTGAATCAGTTGCAGCACAGCTGGGGTTTCATCTGCCAGCCTTCCCAATGATCATGGACTCTCTGCCTGCATGTCTTGGACTTCAGTACATACTATCTCCCTCATGAACTTTCCTCAAAGACCTTTTAAAACATTGGACTTCAGGCTTCTTCATGAAAATTAATCCTCTTATTAAATATACTTGGGATGTGGGACAAAGATGGGGTTTTGTTGCTATGAAATGCTTATGATTTGAATGTATGTATCTTGCTATGAAATATTGCCTTTCCCCTTTGCCTTTTGCCCTAGAAAATGTGACCCAGGACTGTTGAAATGCTTGAGGGAGAACCACCACCTCCCTTTCTTATTTGATTATTTCACCTCTGCATGGACAATAGCAAGCTGAAACTTCCTCTTGTTTGCTTTGTCTGGCAGGCAAGGAAGTTTATCTGGACACTTTGATTGAATCACAAAGGGCAGGGTTGATCCCCCCCCCCCCCCGAGGTCCCCTGCCCCGATCCTGTTTGTTTTCCTTCACCAAAACCCATCAAGGGCAGGAAAACCTTTCTTAATGAAATCAACTTTTGCTGGACAAAACCATGCCCCTCTTCCGTCCTGCCTCCCTCTCTTTTCCTTTCCTTCCCTTTACTTCTTTCCTTTCCTTCCTTCTTTTCCCTTCCTTCTTTTTTTCTTCTTCCCTTCCTTTCTCCTTCCTTCCTTTCTTTTTCTGTCCTTCTCTCTTTCTTCTTCCTTCCTTTACCTCTTTCCTCCCCTTTCCTTCCTCTTTCTTTTTCTCCCTCCCTCTCCTTCTTTCTTTCCTTCCTTCTTTCTTTCCTTCCTTCCTTCCTTCTTCTTTCCTTCCCTCCCTTCCTCCTCTTCCTTCCTTACTTTCTCCTTCCCTCCTTCCTTTCATTCCTTCACTTTCTTTCTCTTTCTTTCCCTTTCTTTCTTTTCCTTCCTTCCTTTACTTACTTTTTTCTCTTCCCTTCCTCCCCTTCCTTCCTTCATTTTCCTCCCTTCCCTCCCCTTCCTTCCTTACTTTCTCCCTCCCTCCCTCCTTTCCTTCCTTCCTCCTTCCTTCCTTCATTGACTTTCTTTCTCTTTCCTTCTTTCCCTTTCTTTCTTTTCCTTCCTTCCTTCCCTTCCTTACTTTCTTTCTTTCCTTCCTTCTTTCCTTCCTTCCTCTTCCTTCTCTTCTTCCTTCCTTTCTCTCTTCCTTTCCTTCCTCCTTCCTTCCCTCCCTTCCTCTTTCCTTCCTTCTTTCTCCTCCCTCCTTCCTCTTTCTTCCTTCTTCCTTTTTCTTCTTTCCTTCTCCTTCTTCCTTTCTTTCTTTCATTCTTTTCCTTCCTTCCTTCCTTCCTTCCTTCCTTCCTCCCTTCCTCTTCCTCATTCTCTCCTTCCTCTTCCCCTTCCTTTCTTCCTTTGTCTAGAGGTCTCCCAATGGGTTTCAGAAGGGATTCAAACCCAGAACTCTGGAATTGTAGACCAACGTTCCAAGACCTAGAACGTTCTGAAAATGGTGATGCACATACTCAAGGAATATACGCATATGCACAACCCCTTGGTTTGAGGCGAGGGGCATAAATTCAAGTGGATTGTTCCCCTTAGACAGTTAAATATCATTGTTTGGATCTCCAGGCCGAGAACACGGTGCGGCCTGTGCAGTCACCCTGCCATCTGGTTTTGCTCACTGTCTGCTTGGGGTGTGTATGTGTGTGTGTGTGCGGTCCAGAATTGAAGCCACAACGCGGGAGGTCAAGCCATCCTCTTGTCTCCTTTAATCCACTGCAAAATATTCGCCGTCCCAGAAGAATGGGCCAAATCTTCATGTTTCTTCTCAAGGAGAAAACAGTCCCCTTGGCTGGCTCTACACTGCAGCATTAATCCAGTTTGACACCACTTGGCTCAATGCGATGGAACCATAGGGGTTGGAGTTTTGCAAGGTTTTGGGCCTTCTCTACTAAAGTGTGTGTTGGAGTCACACCACAATCCCATAGATTTAATCATGGCAGTCCAAGTGGGACCAAACTGCATTAATCCTACAGTGTAGATGCACATCCACAATCCCATAGATTTAACCATGGCAGTCCAAGTGGGACCAAACTGTGTTAATCCTACAGTGTAGATGCACACCCCATAATCCCATAGATTTAACCATGGCAGTCCAAGTGGGACCAAACTGTGTTAATCCTACAGTGTAGATACACACTCCACAATCCCATAGATTTAATCATGGCAATCGAAGTTGGACCAAACTGGATTAATCCTACAGTGTAGATGCACATTCCACAATCCCATAGATTTAACTATGGCAGTCCAAGTGGGACCAAACTGTGTTACTCCTGCATTGTAGATGCACAGTCCACAATCCCATAGATTTAATCCTGGCAGTCCAAGTGGGACCAAACTGTGTTGATCCTACAGTGTAGATGCACATCCCACAATCCCATAGATTTGACCTTAGCAGTCCAAGTGGGACCAAACTGCATTAATCCTGCAGTATAGATGCACACCTTACAATCCCATAGATTTAATCACAGCAGTCCAAGTGGGACCAAACTGTGTTAATCCTACAGTGTAGATACACATCCCACAGATTTAGTTATGGCAGTCCATGTGGAATCAATCCATGTTAATCCTACAGTGTAGATGCACATCCCACAATCCCACAGATTTAATTATGCCAGTCCAAGTGGGACCAAACTGAGTTAATCCTACAGTGTAGATGCACACCCCACAATCCCATAGATTTGATCATAGCAGTCCAAGTGGGACCAAACTGCATTAATTTTACAGTGTAGATACACATCCCACAGATTTGTTATGGCGCTCCAAGTGGATTCAAACTGCATTAATCCTACAGTGTAGATTCCCCCCTTTTCCCATTTGAAAACCTACCTTTCCGAGGGCCAAAAGCACATGCCTATCTGCATGCACATAGATGTGAACATCATATATTAAAAATAGATGTATATCCTACAAGGCAATGAATGGAATCGATAAAAAAAAGGTAAACATTATTTGTGTTTATTTACAAGTTTGGGAGGGGAATATTACAACAAACCACAGAAACGAGACCGTACCCTTTTGTTAGGAAGGCGAAGAATCCTTTGCATTAAATTAAAAAATAATGGTGTCACTATAAATAGGCATTTTTCCCCAAAAAATCCAAACAAACCCAACAACATTAAAACCGTTAAGTAATTGTGTTTACTTAGAAAAACACAACGGGAGAGAGAGAGAGAAAAAGGAACTTTTCCTCTCCCATAAGTTACAATTGATTAAAAATTGAGGATAAATCATAGAATGATAGAGTTGGAAGAGACCTCGTGGGCCATCCAGTCCATCCCCATTCTGCCAAGAAGTAGGAAAATCACATTCGAAGCACTCCCGACAGATGGCCATCCAGCCTCAAAATTGGAAAGTGAAAAAAGTGAAGTTTGGCAGCTTTAAAAAGTAAACTAATCCAAAGCTCTGGAAACTGAGCTTGCAATGGTGACACTGGCCGTTAGATACCGAAACTCACCTCCTGCTTGGGCTTGAAATACAAACCAAATTGCAATAGGGTTTCTGCAAGAGGAAGGGTTTTCATTGGGTTGCTGCCCCATAGAACAGATCAAGTAGCCACGTCTAGAAAAGGAAATGCCACTCGTTACACTTTGTAACACAATTTTTGTTCCTGGGTTGCAAATGTTATTTCCTAATTCAGTGTTTCTCAACCTTCCAAATGCCGCGCGCCCTGAATACAGAGGGACGGAGGGGAAAAAGGGAAGGAAGGAAAGACAAAAGGGAGGAAAGGAAGGAAAGGAAGAAGGGAGGAGATAAGGAAGGAAGGAAGAATGAAAGGGTGGAAGGGAAGGGAAAGAGGGAGAAAGAGGGAGGGAAGGAGGAAAGAGAGAAGGAAGGAAGGAAAGAGAAAAGAAGGAGAGGAAGGGAGGGAGGAAAAAGAAAGAAAGAGAGGAGAGAAGAATGAAAGAGTGGAAGGAATGGGAAAGAGGGAGAAAGGGGGGGGAAGGGAGGAAAGAGAGAGGAAGGAAGGGAAGGAAGGAAGAAGAAATGAGAGAGAAGAAGAGGGAGGAATGGAAGAGAAAGAAAGGAGGGAAGGAGGGAAGAGAGAAGGAAGGAAAGACAAAAGGGAAGGGAGGGAGGGAGGGAGGGAGGAGGGAAGAAGGAAGGGAGGAAGGGAGAAAGAGGGAGGGAAGGAAGGGAGGAAGAGGAAAGAGAGAAGGAAGGAAAGAAACAGGGAAAGAAGGAAGGAGGAAGGAAGGAAGGAAGAAGGAAGGAAGAAAGGAAGGAGGAAGAAAGGAAGAAAGAGAAGAAAGAAAAGAAAGAAAGAAAGAAAGAAAGAAAGGAAGGAAGAAAGGAAGGAAGGAAGGAAGAAAGAAAGAAGAACAAAAGAGTGGAAGGGAATGGAAAGAGAGAGAAAGAAGGAGGGCATGGGAGGGAGGAAAGAGAGAAGGAAGGAAAGGAAGTAGGAAAGAAAGAGAGGAGAGAATAATGAAAGAATGGAAGGAAATGGAAAGAGGAAGAAAGAGGGAGGGAAGGGAGGGAGGGAAAGAGAGATGGAAGGAAAGAAAAAAAAGAAGGAAGGAAGGAAGGAAGGAAGGGAAGGAAGAAAGAACAAAAGAGTGGAAGGGAATGGAAAGAGGGAGAAGGAGGGAGGGGAGGGAGGGAGGAAAAAGAGAAGCAAGGAAGGGAAGGAGGAAAGAAAGAGAGGAGAGAAGAATGAAAGAGTGGAAGGGAATGGGAAGAGGGAGAAAGAGGGAGGGAAGGGTGGGAGGGAAGGAAGGAAGGAAAGACAAAAAGGAAGGAAGGAGAAAGAGGGAGAGAGGGAAGGAAGGACAGAAGGGTGGAAGAGAAGGAAGAAGGAAGGGAAGGAGGAAAGAAAGAAGGAAGGAAGGATAGAATGATGAGAGAGAGGAGGGCCTGAGAAAAGAGCCCTGGGCCTGAGTTTGCCCATACCTGATCTATACTGTTGAATTGATGCAGTTTGGCAACACTTTTCCTGCCATGGCTTGACGCTATGGATTTCTGGGAGTTTTAGTTTGATGAGACCTTGAGCCTCCTATGCCGGAGAGAGTTGGTGCTTCACTAGAATTCCAGAGCATTGAGCCATTGGAGTTAAAGTGCTGCAAAACTGCATTAATTCTACAGTGTAGATGTAGTCAGTGTGGATGACTTCTCAGATCGGTTTTGGTCCTTTAGACTTCAACTCCCAGAATGCTGAATCATTGGACCTAATGGGACTCCTGGGGACTATAAAACAATTGGCAAAGTGGAGAACTACAAGTGCGAAGCACTCTCTGATTATGTAACAGCGGAAACCAAAAACGGACCACGGTGCCTTTAAATCTTGGAGCAGAACTCTTTTGTGTGTTGCTGATTTTAGTAAAAAACAGCCCAAACGCAGTGTTGTGTTTGCCTTGGTTCCTTTCCCTCCTGGGATCAAGGTTGGCACTCCTGCTGGCACCAATTAACGGCAATCGACTCAAGAGCAAACGATGCTGTGATATAGGGTTGGCAAGGTGGGGAGATCAAGGACAGCGAACCTTTCCTTACGGGAGAGCGAACACCGGAGAATGAGCCTTGCAATTTGCAACAAAACCAAAACTGGAGTGTTGTGTGGTTTCTGTGCTACATGGCTGTGTTCTAGCAGCATTTTCTCCTGATGTTTCACTTGCATCTGTGGCTGGCATCATTAGAAGAAGAAGATCTACAAGCCACTCTAAACACCTTCGCAGAAGCATACGAGAAGCTCGGCCTATCATTGAACATCGAGAAAACCAAGGTGCTGTTCCAGCAGACACCAGCCAACCCCTCTCCAATGCCAGAGATACAGCTTAATGGTGTAACATTAGAAAATGTTGATCATTTCCGCTCCCTTGGCAGCCACCTCTCCACCAAAGTCAACATCGACACCGAAATACAACACCGTCTGAGCTCTGCGAGCGCAGCATTTTTCCAAATGAAGCAGAGAATGATTGAGGACCCGGACATCCATAGGGATACCAAGGTGCTTGTTTATAAAGCTATTGTCCTCCCAACCCTGCTATATGCCTGCGAGATGTGGACTGTCTACAGACGTCACATGCAACTCCTGGAACGATTCCATCAGCGCTGCCTCCGAAAAATCCTGCAAATCTCTTGGGAAGACAAGCGGACAATGTCAGCGTGCTGGAAGAAGCAAAGACCACCAGCATTGAAGCGATGGTCCTCTGCCATCAACTCCGCTGGACCGGCCACATTGTCCGGATGCCCGACCACCGTCTCCCAAAGCAGTTGCTCTACTCCGAACTCAAGAATGGAAAACGGAATGTTGGTGGACAGGAAAAGAGATTTAAAGATGGGCTCAAAGCCAACCTTAAAAACTCTGGCATAGACACTGAGAACTGGGAAGCCCTGGCCCTTGACTGCTCCAGCTGGAGGTCAGCTGTGACCAGCAGTGCTGCAGAATTTGAGGAGGCACGAATGGAGGGCGAAAGGGAGAAGCGTGCCAAGAGGAAGGCGCGTCAAGCCAACCCTGACCGAGACCGCCTTCCACCTGGAAACCAAGGCTCTCACTGTGGGAGAAGATGCAGAGCAAGAATAGGGCTCCACAGCCACATACGGACCCACAAGAATACTGGAAGACAATCCTCCTCGGAAAACGAGGGATCGCCTAAGTAAGTAAGTACTTTAGAAGATGCCAGCCACAGATGCAGGTGAAATGTCAGGAGAAAATGCTGCTAGAACACAGCCATACCACCCAGAAACAACACAACACGGTAGTGATTCCAGCCATGAAAGCCTTTGACAAAACCAACATCAATTGCAAGTCTTAAGCCAGTAATTCCCAAAACTCGAATTCTCCAAGTGTTTTGGATTCCAGCTTCCAAAAACCTTGGCTGGTTTGGGCAATGATTAAAATCCTGGAACCTGGAAGACCAAAGTTTGGTAAACACTGCCTAAAACCCACATCTGTTGCAAATCTTTTTAAATTTTCTCTCCAAATGCAAGATCTGGAAAGCGGAAATCCCCGAAAGCCTCGGCGAGTCTCCGCATCACGTTTTTGGGGTGCTGCCGTTGACCTTCCTGAGACTCAGCTGCTCCGGCGTGGCTTGGAGGGGGTGGGTCAAGCTGACCTGGGCGTTGCTGAAGGAGGCGATGCGCCCGCTGCCCCCGATCTGGATGTTGACCGTCGTGGAATAGCTGACCCTTTGCTGGCTCTTTTCGGGGGGCCTCGCTCCATCCGCATTGGTGGGAGAGTCCGGCTTGGGGCAACCGTACCCTTCCTCTGCCGGAGGGTTCGCCCTCCGTTCCCTGTTCACGTACTTGAGGCACAAGCCGGGCACGTTGGGCCACTTGATGCCACTGAGGTCCTGAGGCTGACCGCCGAGGGTCGGACCGGAGTCTCCGTTCGTGGACTCTGTTGTCCCACGGTCTGGTAAACTGTTTCCCCGAGGCCTCGACCGAGGAAAGGGAGACACTACCGTACCTCTGATGGCTGAGTTTGGTGCCAAAGCCACAGGAGAAGCCATATGGACCGGCGCATGCCCAGGAGGATGAGCACACAATGGCGTAAAGGTGCAGCCTTGGAGTCTGACTGGAGGAGGAGAGCAAACTCTAGGCTTCACAGGTAAAGGGGACTGAACCCGCGAGTTTGGCGCCGAAGCGGATGAGAACGGAGAGCGCCGATCGACGGCAGCGGAGGAGAAAGCCCTATGGCGTGTTGGTGAGAGGGGTCCAGATCTGAAGCAAGGAGAAGAGGATCCAGCTTGGGTGTTCAACGGCTCTGGCTTCGCAAGTCCACCGTGAGCCCTGGGTGCCAACTTGGGGAGCAGCGCCAATGGGTTCGCTAACGGTCTTGGAGGAGCGAGAGGTTGGAAAGGCACCTGGAGTTCCTCCGGTTGAGGAGTGCCGTTCTTCTTGGCCAAGCTCTGGCTGATGCAGGAGGCGGCGATGTACCGTGAAATGGCGGCGGCGCTGGACGAGAGGCACCGCCGGACCGGTGAAGTGGGAAAGAGCTTCGGCGTCGGTGCTACGGGGACGGAAGCGGAGGGATCCGATTCTGCTGATGGATTGGAAGAAAGAGCAGGACGGGAGTCCCGTAAAGGCGACCCTGGACATAGGGGTGACGTTGTGCCGGGAACGTTCCTTAGCGAGGCCTCAGATTGAGGCTTTGAATGATCCAGAAACGGGGTCGCTGAGCCATGAAGGAGTGTTTTGGAGCGGTCGTTGCTCCAGTTTGGTCCCTTGGCATCCACATTATCACTTTGAGTCATATCTAGAGAAGGGGAAGTGTTGGTTCTGTTTGCCTGGAAGGCATCATTTGGAAGAGATGGAGGATGCTCCTCTTTCTGTAGCAATGGCGCTTCGGTAGTTTTGGAACTGAGAAACCTGGGTTTGGGTTTGTCTGGCGGGGAACAAATTATGGAAATGTCTGTGTCCTGCAATTCTAAGGAAAAGCCAGAGACTTCGGTTTCTTTCGACGCCTCCAATTGGTTCCTGCAAAAGGACTGCGCAACCTCTCCAACTTCCCTTGGTGGTTTGGCATTCATGTGGCATTTGGTGATGCACTTGGAGGGCAAAGGAGACTCCCTTGCTTTGCTCCCTGTCATTGGCATCAGACGATTCGAATTGCATTCAGAGTTTTCCGATAAGTCTTTGTCTCGGGGGGCGTTTGGCTGTTCCTCCAAAGGTCCGGATGCAAGGCACAACAAAGACTGGCGGAGAGGAGCCAAAAGGTCCAGCGAGAGCAACGGAGGCGGCCTTTCGCTGCGCAGCTCCAAAGCCGTGCCCCGAGTGACGGCAACGAGAGGCGTGTTTTCCTGGACCCCGACCACATGCTGGAAGGGCTCGTGGATGAGGACGTGGCCGTAGATCCGTGGCTCACCTGTGGCAAAGGGAGCAAAGAGGAAAAAAACACATAATCAACACCTTATTTCTC